CTCACACTCAAGGACAGACAAGACAGATTCAACCTACTGAAGCGCAAATTTATTTTCAGGTAGAGTCCGCGTAACGTGTGTATTGAGTGGCATTCCTTAATCGTACTTTTGGATCCTCTGAAGTTTTCTATAAGATCTGTAGTGCTTTACACATTGGCATTTTTCATTTCTATGCTAGATTTTTTCTTTGGGTGCTTAATTTTACTCGGCGTCGGTTCCTTTGGAGGATTGTTTCACCTCAAGGGATCGACGGAACCGAGGGAGGGTGCTACTGATGAGTCCCAATAGGACGAAATAGGCGCTCATATAGCACTAGACCTATGGCTCAAAATATGTCATATCCTTATCAGATTAAATCATTTTGAGCGGGTCTGTAAAAAAAAGCAGTCGATAGCAGAAGTATAGTTCATTTAATAGCCGTAAGCTCGACTGCCGGTCGCCACAAAGTCAGGTAATAACATCATCCTACTTTGGGTGCTTAATTTTACTCGGCGTCGGTTCCTTTGGAGGATTGTTTCACCTCAAGGGATCGACGGAACCGAGGGAGGGTGCTACTGATGAGTCCCAATAGGACGAAATAGGCGCCTATATAGCACTAGACCTATGGCTCAAAATATGTCATATCCTTACTAGATTTTTTATGTCGTATTTTTAGTTTTGCCTTATTTTATTCTTCTCAGTTTGAGCACTTTATCATGAAACAGTGTTCACAAATCACTGCAGTAACAAAGGCTGTTGCGGCAATTCATGGACATAGCTAGATCATCTTTCACATTGCCTTCACTGTTGCAAATCCATAAGACTCGCCTTCTTGCTCAAGCGCATCTACCCACAACGTTAGAGGATCTATTCATAGCTCAAATGAAGAAGCGGCCAGTAAAGCCATGAGGACATAGACGGTCAGAAGACGGGGTACTGACTATTTTTGTTGAATTAGATGAGATCGGCAGTAATTGCGAATGGATGGGAACAATGACATTGTGCGTCGATTGTGGGAACACTGTTCCGCTTCATTCGGAGTAGCTACCGATTTTTTCTAATTCAACAAGATGATCAGCAACCATCTTAAGATTATCTATGTCTTCATGACTCTGTTAGCCGCTTTTCATTATGGGTAGGTCCGCTAGCGGAAAAAGGCGAATTTCGTGAATTTGCAGCGATGAAGGGGATGTGAAAGCCACTTTTTAGTTTTCATTTAAGATCATTATCTTACATTGTTTTTGTAATTGTTTTCACCTAAGAAAGTACTTCATGAATTTCAACCTGTCCGCACATTTTCCATGCCTTTTTGTGTACACAAAAAGATCACTTACCAATTCGGCACTCATCCAAGGTGTTGACTCATTTTAGATCTACATCAGAAGCAGCAGAAGTCTGTCAGAAGTATCTCGAGCTTTGGTGATGATCAATCTCATCTTAGTGACTCGGTGTATCTGGATCTTGGCAGTATGTGAAGGAATGGTTGTAAATGTATAATGAGTCTGTTCCTTGTTGCGTCTAAGTATCTAAGATTTCCAAAATCATCAATGCAATTGATTTAATCTCCATTTGACTATGATTTTGACGTTGAACGTGATTTGTCTATTGTATTGAAGCAGAAATGTGTGAAACTAACTTGGGAATTAATGCTCGAAAATACTATGGGGTTTGTAATTTTGTTTTACTTTTATGTGTTTCAACAGTTTTGAGTACTGCGTTGATATAACTTTCTGCTGCGCTCATTTGTGACATTCCGTTTCGTATAATCAAAGTTAGAATAGAAAGTGTTCCTCTGACAAAATTTTTGAGGTAACCTAACCGGATACTTGGCCCATCTTCAATGTTGATACAGCCCTCCCATAACTTCTATTCGTTCTTCTCTCGCAAAGTTGTTTAAGGCGGTGATCCACCTTGGACACTAAGATGTGCGCGAGCACACCTCGCAATACCAAACTCGTTGCCATCTGCGGATGCAGATGGCTGACGTTAGTTACAAACACGTCAGCTCAGCGCTTGGGTGGTCTTTCAAGGGAACCCATGCACTTTTGGCATTCCCTTTCCAGTGTTCTTTCTGTCCATTTGTCATCTGTTCTTTTTATTGTGTGACTGGCCCATATGCGTTTCCGTTATCGTTGCGAGTATTTCTAAATCAGGAAAGTGGAATAGTTTTCGACGATCAATAAGCATACTGGAGAGCTTTAAAAAAGATTCCTTCTGTCACTCTTTTTAGATAGGATGACTGTGATCAAAGACCATAACTGGTCAGAGACATTTTTCTGAAGGTATGGCGCTATATACCTTGTGAGATGTATATGTACGTTGTGCGTTTTTGGTAATCAATTCCACGTCATTGAGATATGTAGTAATGTCCCGCCTTTTTTGAACAGTGCGGATAGCGGAACATATTAGTTGCAAAGGTACTCCTTAATGGTAGTGTAAATGTGATTTGAACGTTTTGCCCGAAAAAGTGATGATGTTCGGTTCACTTTTTGAGTTCTTCGACAAGCAACTCGTAGTCTTTGGTCGGATTTTCCTTTATCTGTCAGTCTTTCAAAGAAGGGATTTCATTGAGATCGTCCTTGTCGTTAACAACTTGATGTCCTTTTTTTGTTTTTGACAGCACTTTTTTCAACTTATGGCTGAATGGAAATTTTGCATCCAAAGGTGATCAGATCTGGTGCAGGTTTGACGTACCACTGATATGTCAAAGAGGCACCATTTTCTTTTTGTAAGCATATGGTCGATCTCCGCAAGAGTGATGTGTTGGAAGACTCGCATGTCCAATGGCGTTTTTCTATGTTTTTGAAAAATGAGCTTTCATGAAAGAGACGTGCGGCGAATAGAAGTCCTGCGGGTCAATATCCCTTATCACTTCGTTCTCCCATTCCAAACTTTCCTATCCTTTATTGATTTTACTGGGCTTTTAATCTCGCTTCGAGGTCTCCAAAACGAATTTGTAGAAGAATTTTTCGGTGTGGATAATTCACTTCAACTTTTTATAGAACGCGTCCAATCTACCCTCATCAGCTGAACAAGTATACGCTCGATCAGTTGGTGAGTAGCGTTGACGATATTGACTTTGTTTTGACATGGAAGATGGAAGCGAAGGATTAGTCACGATGATGAGACTTCGTACAAAGCGCAATCATATGCGTGAATGACAAAGCCGACTCTCCTGATAAGAAAAATTTCGCTCCGCAAATAACGTGAATTTCGTCGTATATATTTCTTATGCGATTGTCCTACTCCTTTTAGAGGGATATCACGACCTTGCGAATAGTTGATGGCGAGAACTATAATTCATGATACAGTTAACTTTTAACTCGGTTTTTTGGGTCAAAACGCCAGACTTTCTCTCAGCTCAAGGAGTTTTGCTATAGACGAACCCCCGGCCCAGTTCGTATTCGGACACCCAAAAACACCGCCCAGCCATGAGGCGGTAAATTCATTGGCAAACCATGTGACAAATTAAGTCCCGCGAATATAGACTAGGGCGTAATACCCTCAAACGGCTTGAAATAAAAATGCAATTTGACTTAAGGGAACCGTTAGTGGGTGCACAAAACAATGTGATTGGAAAATTTCGTCGTGGAGAATCCCTCTAAATTAAGAACGAGGGTGTGCTTTGCTATGGTGGGAAATGATTCAAGGCTTCCCTGTGAGCAAGTGCACGCACAATTGTTCGAGAATTTGCAAAGAACGAGCTACAAGTACAATAGCTATTTAAAATTTTAAAAATAACTGAAAATAAAATTGTAAAAATAACTGAAAATAACTGAAATAACTCGTAAAAAGACGATCAAGTCAAAGAAGGTTAGCAAGTTAAACGATTTGAGTGGCAATCAAAGGATTCATCATTTTTCAAGTTGAGGCAACGCATGCGCTTCGTCTGCCCAATAGAACGACACGTTTCTCGATTGCGCTGTGACATGCGACAAGAACATTATTCTTGCTGTATAAAATCGTTAAACATCATATCTTTCTACCAGAATTTTCGCGAAAGAATGAGAACATCGCGTTGGTGGCCTTCTTGCTGAGCATACGACATACCTAATAATGCAGTCGGTGTCGGCTTTTGGGCATCAGCTGTCGATGGAACGCATTATGTATCAGGTGGAGAAATTAGTCCAGAAAATGAAATAAATGCAGGAAAAAATTTGATCGGACTGCACTGCTCCTTGGTTAACAAAGTCCATTAATATCTCTCCACAATATGGCCACACGTCGCACTTACAAACGCTGCAGCAAATGAAGGAATTGGGCTATAGAACTCCGCACTGTTCGACGCGCTTTTTGGATGTCTAGCCTGCTGACAACCACAATTTAATTTCCTGTAGAGAAACTACTTTGGAAATCACATCGAGGATGGAACTGCGTTCAGTGACTTTACCGCTTCTAGATGCTCCGAATTATAAAAATTCATTATAGTTGGATCTGTCTCTTGTTGGAAAAATGTGTATATTTTGATGATTTTTCCCTCAATCGATAAATTTTCTTCCAAACTCAGGATATGGCACCTTGAATATAGAGAGTGAATATCGACATTGATTTGAAGATCCCAGTGTGTTTGTAAGAAAATGTAACCACTTACAACATGGGACAATTATCTTGGCAAAGCAACCTTTGTCAATTACATGGTGGTATTGAAACTGCGCTTGTGCCATGAAATATCGGACCGACAACAAATTAGTTCTTTTCTGAAACTCACTGTTGTTCTCTAGTTTTTTTTTCACAGCTCCTATTGAACTTTATTGTTAATAACCATTTGTTTTCTCGATAAGTCTGCAGAAATTTATCTTTTTTTGCCAAATTTCTATTTCACAAATAATTCAAAATATCGTAGTACTAAATGAATTCTTTATTTTTAGTGCTTTTCGGCATTAGTGTGATGTTATAAATTTGTACTGAGTTTGTTAAGTGATATCCAAAACATTGACATACATCAGGAGGAAGTTGGAACAGCGTCTCACCAATCGGGGGGCACGTGCCAGTATTTAGGAAAGCGTGGTAGCAGAGCGTTTGCACCGGTGGTATAGTGGTAGCATGCGCCCCTCGAATGGGTAACACGCGGTTTCAACTCCTGCCCAGTGTCGAATGTTTAGCATATCACTCAACTTTCTTGGATGATATCGTAGTAGTACTTAGAATCCTGTCTTCGAAGTATTTGTCAGAATTATAATATTCATCAAAGATTCTTCACTGTGAAGCACCCGATTTCGTGCGCAGGTGGGTGCTGTGATATTGTGTTGGCTTGTTTGTGTATTCTCCTCCATATGCCATGCATTTTTAAAGCTAGGTGGTACTACATTTATGGGAAACTAGAAAGAGCGAAGAAGACAAAAGCTTAATAAAGCTCAGTAAGGTTATTAGAAGGTACAAAAATAAGCAGGAGTGTAGCGCAGTGGCTAAGACTTTTGGTTTGTCACGCGTCCATAGCAGTCGTTACCGAAATCCCTCCTCTGGTGGCAATTTTTCTAAATATTTGTGTTGAAACACTGTCCTGCTACTAGATCTGTTAAAAAAATCGTTGCCCAGAAAAATATGCATTTCAACCGGTTCTCAGTGCTTAGCGAAGTCAAAATATAACGTATTCCATTCGTTTCGAGTGTTTTATTAAGACCACAGCTCAAATTTCAATATGCTAAATAATAATTTTTGAGACGCTCATGTCAGTGATCTATCAAAGAGGGCTGACTTATAGAGCCCGATGCACGTGTTTCGACTTGCGATCTCGTCAGTCGGGCAGTTACCCTTTCTCGTCTTTTGCCAGTTCTGTGTGGGTGCTCCAGTCCGCACACTAAGAATTAGCGACGACGAACGTTTTACACTTTATGTCCAGTGAAAATCTCACCGAACATGGAGTGTTGTACACTCTATTGCTCTCAGCTATTATACTCAGTATGTCATATCATTCGCTTCGAGTGTTTTCTTGAGACCACAGCTCAGATTTCAATGGGCCAAATAATCATTTTTGAGCCACATATGTCATGTGCTCTGTTAGAGATGCATGGCTCAAAGATGATTATTTGGCATGTTCAAATTTGAGCTGTGATTTGAGAGAACACTCGAAACTAATGATATGATATATTAAATATGTTAGCCAAGTGCAATCGAGTGTACAACACTCTTTGTTCGTTGATAATTTAATTGGACATAGAGTATAAACGTTTGTCTTCGCTAACTCTTAGTGTGGGGAAGGGGCACCCACAGAGATTAGCAAAGGCGAGAATGGGTAACTGCTCGACTGACGAGATGGTAAGATCGAATCACGTGTATTGGGCTCTATAAGTCAGCCCATCTTCAACAAACCACATGACTTGCGTGGCTCAAAAATGATTATTTGGCATATAACGCATGCTGGAACATTCAGCGATAGGCGGCTTACGTTCTTGTAATCAATCCAGCTATCAATGATTCTTGACCGAGAAGAAGAAGGTTTCTTTCAACAACAAGTGTACCAAACGATGTTTTTGTTTCTCACTTGATTATTTTTTCTACTTTCATGGATACAGAAAATAAGCTGTCATTGTGGTGTTCTATCAAATTTTTTTCATCTATGCACAAAATCCTTTTATTTAACCGCTTTTAGCAGTGGTATGAGGTTACACACTGTATATCCGATAATGTTAAGTGAAATGCAAGTCCTTGAACCTCAGAAAAAGATCGAACCTGCCTTAACCCTCATACTGGTAAAAGAATGGTAGCACAACAGCAGCCTCTGTGGTACAGTTGGTTAGCACACACCATCGGAAAAGGGTGGAGTGCGAGTTTGATTCCTCGCATAGTTGGTGATAGTTCAATACCTTGTCCACAGAAAGTGTGATAACAGAACGACAGCCGTGAAAACGCAAATCGTTAGCAGCGCTCTTCCGGGAAGAGCGAAATAGCGGAGTACGAGTTCAATTCCCGTGTGAGATTCAAAATTTTTCATATCACGTAACATTATTGGATATTTACTCACATTATACGGTAACAAAAAGTGATGTGATTCTGTTCTGTTTTGTTTAAGCATTGCATCAGCAACTCCATGTAATTCTATCTTCTCCAATATCTCCAGTAGTAGTGACCGTACCCATTCCAGTCCCAATAGCTTCTCCAATTGGAGTTCCAGTTCCATGCCCATTGCCAATTGCAACAGAACTAAATTAGAGAAAATGTGAACTTAAAAAATTTTTTTTCAAAACTATCCATGGATCAATGATGAAATAAAATTTCCTTTATTTAACCGCTTTTTTTAGCGGTGATCTGATGTTATGAAGATGATAGATAGATGCTATGTAGCGTCGAAAGAGTGATGTGCAAAATGAGCGTTATCAGTGCAACGGGTCAGAGCACGCGCTCCCGGAAAGAGTGAGATGTGGGTTGGAGTCTCGCGTGACGCAGAAATTTGGACATCACTTTAGATCACTAAATAGATCCATGTATTCTCAGCTGATCAGCAACGGATAAAATCCTTGATGGAGTTTTGTGATGACAAAATCGATAGTCTGTATTACGTTGTAACATGTTGTGATCTAATGCTCAGACATTATATATTGAGGCGAAAAAGTAAGATTACATTGTGGGTTTATGTCGAACAACGTGCATTCGCACTTTTACGTCTCTACGTAAGTTCTGCATCTGACTTTTCTATGAATCACATTATTCTCATATAATTTCATAAAATTGATAGAACACAAGTAGTTACCCAATAGGTGCTGACTTCAGCGATACATAGTAGAACGAGCACGACAAGAAATGAGCTGAAAAACAAAATTATTAGCAAAGTTCGCAGAAATTTTCCCTCATCTCTAAATATAATTCCTGCTCACATGATTCTCTCAGATTGCTAATAAAAAATTGTACTGAAATGTTTAGTCTCAAAATCCCTTAGCGACTAAACAGCATCGCAATGGTCCTCTTCTATTTTTACGGCATTTTTACAGTGCTTGTAGTTTGAAATATTTTTAGTTTCTAAAAAATATTGAGGATGCAAAATTAGGAAACCATATTGAAGTTAATTTTTATCTTGGTTAATACTGGTGAGTAATTGAATCTGTATTATCAATTTTACACTTACTTCTACATGATTGAATGGTCTGTTTTAGTCGAAAGAACCGATATTGAAACTAACTAAATGTGAGTGTATGTGGCAAAAAGCACAGGTACTTGGTATCTTAAGTTATACTCTCCTTTTATTCAAAATTTTTGGTTTTTCACTGTATTTTTCGCAGTGTTATGATGTTCCATTTATTCTTGAAAGAATTGAGTGGTGAGCAAAAATACGGCTTCAGACGGGAGTCGAACCCACGCTCATCCATGCCGGGGACGCGTGCTGCCACTTAGACCACCGAGGTACACTGTCACTACATCACCGGCGTGCACTCTTCTTTTATTATTTTGCTGACGCTGTAGTTGATCTTCTGTGCAGGCATCACCGAATCTCCAGCGGTAGCTTCGATGCTGCAGCTTGCATACGTCTTCGTCCTTGTACGTTAAGATTTCAGATTTTGTAAGACATAAAAAATCGGTAAGTTTTTCTACAGTTCTTCTGCGCTTGTACTCATTTAGACATCATACAGAACGTTCTCACGGAGTAAGGGAGATGAAGACCTCTGTCTTCAGAGAGGTGCCAAATGTTCGTGTGTAATAAACCCAGTTGTCTTAAGATTGCCGTGTTTCCCTCAATATACTAGCAAAATGGTTGGAGAACGATGTGAAACCATCTATTACATACGTCTTATTCGATTTTTTAAAAAACTTTTTTGTGATAGGGTTTGCATCAATGTGATACATCAAAACACGTAATATAATATATTATATATATATATATATATATATATATGATTATCGAAATGCGCATAGCATAAGATAGCTGATATTCATGAGGTGCAAAGGTCCATCTCCTGAGTCAGCTTGCATCTCAGTGGACGAGCACGACTGCCTTTAATCACGTTTGATACCCAAGCTTAGACGTTGTAGACATCATATATACACTGGCCAACAACTAGTCAACTCGAGATCGTCCAAAGAGATTCATTGTTCCATTTTTTCACTGACTGATGAAGAGGGCACAAAGAACTTCTGCACTGCTGTGGGCTTGTAAGCATTCGGCCGATCGTTTGCTCCCCATAGCTGCTCTGCAATATGAAATCTCCTAGATGTTTCAACTAAAGATTATGTAGCGCGCTTGTCTTCAAAGCATTATTTCAACGTTAACTTGGTCCAACACCGCAAATGTGATCATTTTGCCTTCATCAATCCATTAGAAGCCAATTTTTTAGGTCCCCATAGATAAAAAACATTTCTTAAATTTTGGAATACTTCTGCAAGCCATTGAAGCTATAATAACAAGTGATCCAACAGTTTGATATAAATTTTAGAAAATGACAGAATCATTCATGAAACTTAGCCAACTTACAGTTTTATGGCCATATGTCGCAACAGGTAGAGCGCCAGTGGTGTGGAAGTTTGGTGTGTGACTTTAAATACGTTCATACAATAGATGTAAAGTTTTCAGGGGACCTCGGTGAGTTTACTTTGTCATGAAGTACTTGGTACCGATTGGTACTCAAAGTAACCATTTACTACTAAGATGTGAATTCAGTTTAGAAAAGATTGCTCTAATCGATGATACCAAACGTACTGAGATGTCTACTAGGCGTGTTTCAAATGGAGTTTGTTCAAAAAACTTTGGATTTATACAATTTGGCGTCACTGCTACTTTATCGCTTCAGAGAATTGGAAAACGTCCAATGGTTTTTAACTTTAACACATCTATACACTTATTTGTACTATAAGTAATTTTGGTAGGATAAATAACAGTCCAAAAATTGCCTATGAAAACAAAAAAGCGACATATTGTTGATGTATTTATTTTCTGTTTTTTGGAAGTGTTCCGAAATTTTTCAACAGGTTCCATTTCATAATTTTATTCTGCCAACACAGTCTTTGTGTGTATTTGGAATAGTAAGCTACGAATAAACTAATGAGATATAGCAGCATTTCTATTTTCTTGATGAATGGAACGTTGTGGATTGGATAAGAACGGGTTTGTTACCATAATTGGTGGTTTAGGTGTTCCAATAGCCTTTAGTCGACATTCTGCACTCTGTATTACTCACAGGTTTCTGAAATATCTTCTATTCATATTATCGTGGATGATATCATTTTTACCCAATCCATTCATTGAGACGAACGTTTTCAACATGTAAAAACTAGATTATTTACAGAGACATGTTGCCTACCATATATTCTGTCGCTTCTG